TTTCGGCTGCCATGGCGCGCTTGAGGAGTCTCTTTTCAAACTTTAAATCTTTCGAGCTTCGCTTGTCGTTTCGCAGAAACCCGCGATCGTCGAGCAAGCTAGCAAGAGTCTCCTCGTCTAGAGTGGCGATATCTGACCCGGCCGACGAATTGGTCATGGCGCCTTGACGTGCGTCGCAGCGATTCGCCGTCAGCCGAATGTCCACAGCGCCCACTCGCCCGCGCACTCACTTTTGGATCTCTCCATCGCCACAGCCCATTCTGGACGTTCGTTGATCGGCATATCTGTCAAATTGATCGAATCACCCTCCTTTGCCTGTCGGAGAAGTTCCGAGATGCGCTCATCTCGAGACTGATCGAGTTGCTGGCGCACGCTCTCGCTCGGGCTGTGGGGTGTCGCCATGACAAAGCTCTTTGACCCGCCAGTCTCGTTCGGTGCAGGCATCGAACCAAAAGATGGCGGCGAAACGTAGTCTGAGCTCGTAGTCGGAAAGTTGTCGCTGCAAGTAGGTACCTCGTGTTCTCGCGACTCGCCAAGTCTCTGCAGATGATGTCGAGAGGCTTCGCTGTCGTCGGAGATCATGGACATTGCGGGCAATTCACGCCTCGCGGATCCTCCGAATGTACGAATGCTCGGCAAATGCTCTCCATCATGGGCGCTTCCGGTCACCGAACCGAGTGCAGCGCGCCATGTGATGGATGGGGCTGCTCTCGAATGCTGTGAGGGCGCGTCGACCGACCTATCAAGAAAGCTGATGTCCTTGCTGCGCTCCGTCATGGGCTCACTAACCTCGGTAGTAGGAGTCAGAACTTTGGACTGCTTCAAGAAAGCCGTGGGGGGAATTGGTGACGTATCCAAGGCTTTCTTGTCGGCCTCACTACCGCTCGAGCGCCGAGGCTCTGACCACTCCTCCAGCGAAGTATCGTGCGAGCTGGCATGCTTTCCCGGTGCGGAGGACCGATCCCCTTCGATGTCGCTCTGCACCACAGCAGGCGTCTGAACTAGGGGCAAGAACTTTCTCCGGGCGCGCGGGGAGCTATTTGCCTGTGTGCGCGATGTGTGACGCGAGTGCAGCAATGTCAGAGATACGAAAGGCGACACGGATTGCGCTGCACGCACCGACTTGTCTCCCGGGAGCGCAGTGAAGCGGTCCGAGGTCCCCAAGTCCGAGCCAG